TCCATCAACATTATTATAGCTCTGTCCCTCAGGGTGGACAGCACGAGAGCCATGAGGGAGGTTTTCATTTGCTTTTTCTCTTCACAAGGAGAGTTAATTGCACTTAGTGCAGCTCGGCCACCAACTGCCCATGCACCAAGCCACTGGAGCACCAAGCACCCAGTGTGCCAGACCAAGTACATGGTAGTGCTGAGGAGATGGTCCCCAGCTAGGGCCAGGGCTGGTGGTGGGTGATCTGCTCCCCCCGCTCTGCTCTGTCCTGCAGAGGCACAGCACATCTGAATGAGCCTGTCAAATGAAATTTTCTGTCTGGTTAGAAATGGATTTTCAAGCTCCTTGCTCACATGTAAACATTTTTAGTGGTCCCCAGCCAAATCAGAGCCAGCGAGAACAAACATCAGCCTGGGAAGACCCAGTCCCTGCAGGGAAATCACAGCCCACAGAAGGAAACCAAATGCACAGTGGCTTCGAAAGGCATCCATTAAAGTGTGTGCTGAAGTGATTCATGGTGCTGGTAGTTAGACTTTAATTAGATCTTAATCACGTAATTTTATCTTTGTTTTAAAGATGAGAGCTTAATGACTGCATTGGTCTCATAACTGTGCCATGACTAAACAAAGCACTGTCACATGGCAGCTCTGCAGCAGGCAGAGATGGGGCCGAGGGCATCGGCCTCTTTGGATATTTTAAATAAAATGTGTGTATTTTAAATAAATAAATTTATTTAAAACACACAAATTCATCAGGACCAGCCAGCACTCAGGTAAGGTGGAAAGGGCAGGGGCAGGGAGCCAGGTGTGAGCGTGGGCACTTGGCCCCCCAGCAGCCACCATCACACATGGCAGCCACAGCATGTGACAAGGAGAGTTGGATCACGGGCTTTCAATTCAGCTGGCAGGTTGGATCCCTCACATGATTAGCAGGAGGGTAATTAATCTCAGTCATTCCTGAGCACTTTCCCTCCTGTGTCACCATTTCTGGCCTCCACACACTTGTGGTGCAGAGCTGCCGTGCCCTGTGGACACGGGGATGGACACAGGGATGGACACAGGGATGGACACGGGGATGGACACGGGGATGGACACAGGGATGGACATGGGGATGGACACAGGGGTAGATATGGGGATAGGCACATGCCAAATGGTGATGGCAGTGGGGACCATGCCCTCTGCTAACATGCACGAACCCTGAATGTGTGTCCCAGGAGGGATTTTCCTCCCTTGCAGCTGTGGGATCCATCAATATCTGCTGCAGGGGATGATCTGCCTCACCTCCTGGTCTTTCTAGTTACTTAATTTTAGTTGAGTCAGGCAAAGTTGGTTCAGGTTTGCAGGGTGAGTCCCTGTGGGTGGCAGGACTGGGAGAGGGCTGCCCCTGGAGTTGGGATTCACCCATGGCTGGCACAGGGGCCATGTCCCGCAGCACATCCCTGACAGCCACATCTAGTCAGAGACACAGTGGTTCCACTCAGGTCTCAGCTGTTTGCCTCTCTGAGCTCACTGAGTTCTGCCTGGCCCTGAGCTCTGACCAGGGCTCGTCCCTGACCTGCTGTGGGGAGGCAAAGCAGCAGCTCTGTGTCCCATGAATGGGGTGCTGTGGTGGCAGTTCCTCAAAGCCGAGCGACTCCACTGTCCTTGAGCCCTGCCCTGCCCTTGCTGCGATGGCAGCGGCCCCTTCCCACCTTCCCTTTCCTGTTTGTTATGCCACATGAGCCACTTGAACTCATTACTCTGGCAGATTATAGGTCCCCAGGTAATAACGAGTCTTCAGATAATTACTAACAGATCCTCTAATAGGAACGAAGTCAGTTGAATCCACTCAGCCACTGGGTGGATTATTTATCCCTAAGCTGTCCTTATCTCCAGCCACTGGAGTGTGCCAGAGCCGGGTCACTGCCCTCACGAGTGCTCGCTGCAGGAGCAGGGGAGCAGAGCCCTGGGATCAAGCACCACACGGTGTGAGCCCCAACCAACTCCCCTTCCCCTCCTGGGAGCTGGCAGCAGTGATCCTGTGGCCAGCCCGGGGGACCACTGTGGGGCTGGTGTTCCTGCTGGGCTGTGAGTAGCCCCAGCCAGCACCAAGATGCTTTGCAGTACCCTGGGGTGTGACACCCACCCCCATCTGCTGGCAGAAGGTCCCCAGCAGCCGACACCCCCGTGGGCCCCGTGAGCCACCGGCACAGCCACTGTCAGGTGTCAGCCCCTGTGGCCACCAGCCTGCTGTGAGTGCCAGCCCCTGCACCCGCAGCCCTGGCTGTACAGGAGTCACTAATTGGACCAGCCAGCTAATTAGCTGTCAGGTAATGAATTATGCAGTGATGCCTGGACTTCAGTGCAATATTGATGCCATCAGGTCCTCTCATTGCTACACACTCCTGCTCATGGAAAGCTGGGCAGGGCTTGGAGAGGAACTTGGAAAACATTCAGAGCAAATGAAAAGCGTTAATCTGTTGAGTGTGTGGGCACATCACTGGGGAGTGGGCACCGGACTGGCACCCGGGCTGGGCTGGCAGCCACAGGCACAGACAACAGCTCCTCCTCTGTACAGCTCGTGTCCCCCGTGCTGCGGGTGGGCAGGGACAACCCTGGGAATTGGTGCCCACGGGCAGCTCCTGCACTCTCCGAGTACCAATGGGCAGGAGTGTGGGGCTGGAGGGAAGATTGGGGAGCAGAAGGTGGGAGCCTGGCAGCTCCATGTAGACACCTTTGCTGGAAGAGGCTGGAGGATTCCTCTGGGGAAGGGGAAGGCAGGCAGTGGGGCACAGCCCACAGAGCCTGTGGGTGACCCGTGCTGTGGAGGGAGCCTGCAGAGACAGGGTAACTGCAGGGGCAGAGCTGGCACCTCGGGCAGCACCTCCGTGTCTCTGCACTGCCTGGGCAAGTGGGTGTGGCATTGCCAGGTGACATCCAGCTGTATCCATCCTGGGCAGTGGTGACAGATCCCAGCTGGCAGTGTGTTTTTGTCCCTTGCTGCAACCTGATGAAATAATAAGAGGAAACTTGACCGACTTGAATGTGTCCACATCCCAGATACCCCTGAGCATCCATCATCTCCAAGGGGTTGGAGGCTTCTGTTAATGATTGTATTTATTTGCTGCTCGGCTCTGTGTGCATGGAAGGTGTGTGAGGAGCATCGTGGTGGGGGGATGGGGCTGGCGGTCCCCCACGGTCACTCCCAGGGCCCTGCCTGCATTCCCATCCCTGCCACTGCCAGTAAACATTGAGCCAGCAGTGAAACCAATTTTATTAATTAAAAAGAAATGAATGAAATTTCCTCAGTGCTCACAGCGCTGTGATCAGTCCTTAGCCAGTGGGATGAACAATGCTCCTTGTGCAGCTGGGAATACCTTGGCTATATTCAATGTGCTGGTCCAGCACTGCAGCTTCAGCTCACAGGGACAGAGCCATCGGAGTCACTGCTCCCAGGGCAGCTCCCACCTGAGTCAGGTCTCCTCATCAGGAGACAGGGAAGGAGAAATAATTACAGAGATGCTATGTTGAAGATAAGGTCCCCGACTGGAGGGTGCTGGGATGGTCCCAGCAGGGAGGCAGCGTTCAGGCCTGTTTTGGGAGGAGAGGCTGCTGCTGGGCAGGAGCAGTGCTGCAGCTCCCACAGATGTACCAGTGGCTCTGCTCTGCCTGGGCAGGGCAGTTACCAGTGATGTGAATGGGACCCAGGAAGGATTCCCTCGGCCCAGCACGTCTCAAGAGCTCTTCAGTGTGAGCAGGATCAGGGACCACTTAAGTCACATTCATTACATTTAAGTATTTATGAGCTGATAAATATTAAACAGCCACTCTCTGGGGTTCAGGCCTGAGCAAACCCATTAGAACACAGTGCACGCACCGGCAGTGGCTGTGCCGCGGGGGCAGCCGGGCGGGGACGTGCTGCACCAGGGATGGGATGGCTGCACACAGCCCTGATGGCCCTGAGAGCAGAACCTCTGTCCCCAGATCCCCTGAGTCAGGGGCATTCACGGGGGAGACATCCCAGGCTGGGCGAGCAGGGGGGCTCCCTCTGGCAGCCCCTCTGCTTGGCGTCAGGTCACCAAACCAGCACTGCTCCACGTCCTCAACAAACCCCTCCATCCTCACCAAACACCAACCCCGCCCACCCCCACCTCCTTGGAATCTTGGAATGCAGATCGCCTGCTTGGAGCTTTTTCAGACATTTTTAAGAGCTCCTAATGTGCTCAGCATTTTCAGTGCAGCCCTTTCCGAGCCCTCACTTGCTCACCCTTTGGAAAGCTAATACTTGATTTAAGCACATTTCTGCTCCCTCCATTTGTAAGGACAAATGTAAAGTAATTGTTTGATATCACAGCGGTTTCCTCAGGCTCCAGCTCTAATTTCCCACTAATACAGTATTGTCAGGGGGATCAATCTAACTCAGCACCTTCTGCCTCCTTGGAGTGGATTGGAAATGGCTTTTCTACTACGAGGCTGGGATTTGTGAGTCTCACTGTGAATGTTTTTCTCCTTTAAAGGAAAAATCACACAAGCAAATATCCCATTTTCCTGTCAACGACTGTTAATCTGGGCTCTCCCTTCACCTGCCCACAGCTGCCTCTGGGTCTCCTTGCTGCTGGGTCCCCCATGGCTGACAGTGGCAGAGATGTAGATGGGGTTCTCTTACATGTCCACTAATTACCTCCAATTTTTTCCTGTTAGAGCTCGCTGGTCAGTAATCACTCTCAGTAAGGCCTTGCAAACTGGTCCATGGTGTGTTGCATCCCCACACGGCCCCCGTGCATTGCCCTGAGGCTTCCCAGCCCCGTGGCAGAGGACAGCTCTGGGGAGGCCTGGGCAGGGCTGTGCTGCCGGTCCCCAGGTCGTGCCGGGCTGACCCCCTGACCTGCCCCAGCCCCCACCTGATCCCTCACCTGCTTGCAGGCACAGGGGCTCCCCACGGCCCCCCAGCTCTGCGTGGGGGCTGCCCAGCCCTGCCCTAAGAACAGCCCATGCGTACGGACCGGTGGAAGCCGCTTTATTTACATGAAGGGATCACATGCTGAACAAGGAAACTAGTGCCACTAAAGTACCCGTAACAGCAGGATTCTGTGCTTTATTCACAGGACAAAATATCAGTACAACATTTTCCATGGACTTCTTTGTCAAGCAGATACATCTCACTGTCCTCATGGGTACACACTGCGCACGAGTGACGAAGGCAAGTGGAGAGGCCGGAGCTCTGCCTGCCCAGGGTGTGGGGAGACAGTCCCACTGCCACTGTCCAGGAGCACCCATCTGCCTTGGGACACAGGGGAGGGACGTGCTTGGAGCAGCCTGCTCACAGGCTGCAGGATGGGGCCATCACTGTGCCCTAGGGACCACGTGGTGTTAAAAGCAAACAGGACCCCACAGGACAAGCCATAGTGCTGCTGACCCGCCGGGACAGGCAGTGCTGCTGGGCCCTCATCCCTCAGCATGGTGGCTGCAGCAGGATTCGTGTCTTCCTTGTCTTGGCTTGCTCCAGAGCACTGCTGACTCCCAAGGGACAGGGAGGCCCTCGCCTGCCTCTGCTTGCAATTCCAGGCAGGACGAGCTGGGAGGATCCTGGCTCCAGCCCCTGGGGCCCCCCTCATGGAAGATTGCAGCCTCATGTCACTGCAGCACTGCTCCTGGACGCCTATTCCCACCTGAAGTCCTGCCCGACCGTTTCATAGAATTTGATATTATAAGGTCTATAAAAGTCCCGAAGCTGCTCGATCACCTCGGGGTCTATCTGCACATGAGTCCTGCCCTTGGACTTGCCCAGGCAGCGAGGCAAGCCACTGCTCTCTGACTTCTTCAGGCACGGAAAGCCTTTTGTCTTGTTGAAGTAGAAGTGCTTGTCCGTGATAACCCGTTTAATGCCCAGGAAGTCCTGGACTTTGCCCATCTCCCCAGCTGGATCTGTGATCAGCTTCTCCCCGCTGACAAAGTGAATCTGGGAGAGGGGGAAGTACTGGAGCCAGCTCTCCAGGTGCACGGCATACATCCCGATGCGGATGGCGTTCCAGGAGGTGTCCACCAGCCCCAGGCTGCGGTTGCGGAAGGTCAGCCCCTCGAAGGTGGGGATGTCCGGCTTCTTGGAGAGGGTCTGTGTGTAGTCCGAGATGGCCCTGGTGACCGGGTTCCGCACCACCACGATCAGCTTCGTGTCCCGGGACATGTTGAAGATCCGCCGTGGTGCCTCTTTGGTGACAAAGTAGCTGGGGGTCTTCTCCACCGTGATCTGGCTGTCGAGCGTCCGTGGCATCAGGCTCCTGCAAGCGAAGCAGAAGGTGATGGTGAGGAAGGAGCCGGGACAGGCAGCAGGAGGTGGTGACTGCAGCATGGGGCTGCTGGCGTGTCCCCTCCCAGTGAGACAAGGCAGGCACAGCTCCTCCTGGCAGCGCTGTGGAGGACCCTGGCCATAGATCTCTCCCAGGTCTGTCCCAGTCCCCAGGGACCCCCTGGGCAGAGGATGGGGGCACTGGCAGCCCCACACACACAGCAGTGGGTGTGTGCCCAGTGCCAGGACGCAGGAACGTGGTGGCTGTGCCACACCACTGCCAGGAGGAGCCGTGGGAAGAAATGAACAGGCCTCGGGGGGGCTGTGCCACTCCACCGGTGGGAGCTGCAGCAAGGGGCTGCCCAGGGACGCGGGGCTCATGCCCACGAGGATATCACCTGCCCCACCAGGGCCTGACCCAGCCCATGGGCTCTGAGATGGGCTCCTGTCTGTCCCTGGCACAGGGAGCCAGGCTGCAAGCCAGGCAGGGAACACCAGACCGGGGCAAATGCAGCATCCCTGCGGCCCAGCTTAGCACTAATTAAATAATTTACTTTGACATATGAACATCCAAATCAAATAAAAACTAATGGGATGGAAAGATTTATAAATTGGTTTTGTATTACTAGAATAAACTATAAAATCCACCTCAGCCAGATTCCTGGTGCCATGGGTCCCCAGGATGGAGTGGGCAGTGAGCAGGCAGGGAATGCCTGGCTGGAGTGGGCAGGGAGCACTGGCAGCCAGGATGGGGCCAGCACTCTCCTGCTGCTCCCACACTCCAGCAGCAGCCATGGTGTGAGCAGGTACAGCATGAATTCAGCTCGTGGGGCTCCCTGTGAGCCCCCTGCAATGCACATGCCCAGGCAGGGTCTCCTGGCTGGGCCCCGCAGCAGGTGCTCACCCCTGCATGGGCACCCGGAGCTGGTACTGCAGTCACGTCATGGGGTGACCCTGGAGCCCCGGCTGCCCCACTGAGGCTCGGGCCAGCAGGACCCAGGGAAAGCAAACAGAGCATCCCTCTCTGCAGCCATTTCAACAGCATCCCTGTCTGCAGCCATCCCGCTGAAGAGCACAAGACACTGACTTATCCATGTGATAAACCTGGCACAGCTGCCACGGCCACGCCGGTGCCGCAACACAGGGGCTTCGGTGCATCAGTGACCAAGATCTGGCACCTCCAGGGTCCCCAAAACACAGGTCATGGCCAGCAGCTTTGGGCCGAGGAAAGACCTAACTGGGACGAGATCCAACAGCAGCTCACAACACCCTGTGTGACAAGGGGACAGCGATGGAAGACTTGGGACATCACAGGGATCAGCAGCACGTGCCAGGGGCACCAGCCCACATACCCTCACATGCTCTTTGACCAGCTTCCTTGTTCGAGAGAGAACAAACTAATTAGTTGGCATAAATTAGCAGGGCTGGTTCACTGAGGTACCTGAGCATGGACGGGGCTTAATTGGCCTTTCCCACTGCTCCACTTCAAACCCCATAAATCCCGATTACGATTCCCGTTGGTTAATGACTGCTGGGAAATGCTAATTCAGCGCAGGCACACGGCTCTATCTCCACATCACAAACAAGTTTCATCATAAATCAGCGTGGGACAGCTCTGTAAGTGATTCACTATTACAATATATCGTGGAGAATCATAAAACTGCTGTTTCATTAATGGCTCATCCTCAGGCCTGTTAGACTTTCATTACGTGAGTTATTAGGTCCATGCATTCAAAAACAAAATTACAGGTTCTAATCCATCACAAAAAACACAAAACCTCTGCATAGTAAATTACTGAAATGAGACAAGAGTTGTTTTTTTTAAATGGACTCCCAGTGTTTGCTGCTCCTGAGCAGCAGAGACTGCTGAGACAACAAAACACAGCCTGGGCAGATAAATAAATCACCAGTGAAACCAAGCAAGGGGGAGACATGTCATCCAGGCATTCATCTTCCACTAACGGCAGGATCCCCCGGGCTGCAGGAGCGGGGAAACGCATGGCAAAGTTAATTACACCTGACTTTAAAATGATATTTTTGGACTTCTGCATTCACAGAGTTATTTGCATACAAATAGCATGTCACACAGCTTTATGCCCCAGGCTTGCGTGTGTAGGTGTGAAGGCTCTTGGTGCTGGCCCTCAGTGCTGTGTGGCCAGGGCTCAGCCAGGAGACAACTCTGGCTGCTCCACGGACATATCTCGTGGCTCTGCTGATGTCCCCAGCCAGCCTCGGCACCAGCTTCTGGTGTGCTCTGAGCCAGCTGCTGCCACAGCACTGCCAGCACAGGGACAGTGACGTACGGCTGACACTGGAGGGATTGCTCTGGCTGCAGGGACAGCATTAATTCCTCCTGAATTAGAGATTACTTTCATTAGAGTTACTCGATTCTTAAAGCCCTTTAGTGTTATTTGATATGGGCATTAACACTCCCTTCAGCCCAGATTTAGAGGTTGGTTTGCCCGTGTTAGTGACGTGGGGACACGTGTGGGTACAGCCCAGGGGAGCTGCTGTCCCTGCCGTGGCCCAGCTGTGCCCCACGGCCCCACCGCCCCGTGGGCGCTGGGCAGCAGCAGTGCAGAGCCTGCCCAGCTGCAGCAGTGCCTCGTCCTGAAGGAGTTAACTCCTCACCAGCACCTTTCTGAGCCCTGAATTATTAATTTTGTTATAATCTGCCTTTGGGCACCCCACGGCCCCTACAACACTCCCACATTAAAGAAACATGCGCTCCCTCACCGGCTGCACCGCTTTGATGTCAAACACGCATGAAACACTCTCCCAAGGAAAAATTTGTACAAAACCTCATCAGTCGATTGAGATATTGCAGATAAGCACAGGGAAAGCAGCACCCACTGATAATACCATTGCAGCCCTGGTCCTGCAGCCTGCAGAGCAGCTCTGGGTCAGTCCCTCCCTGCTGCAGCCCGCTGTGTGTGGAGGCTGGAGGCTGACGTGTGTGATCCTGGGCTCCATCCATCCAGCAGCATAAAACAAACTGTTTGATTTGGCAAAAAATCCCAAGTGCCTGCTCCTGTGACGAGAGCTCTGCGCTTCCCCTCTCCCAGCTGATGTCACCAGCAGAGAAGGGTGGGCTGTGAGTGTGTCTCCAGCTGCAGCTCCACGTGTTGGAGATGAGCACAGAAAGTGCAGGAGTCAGCACCGGCCCCAGCTGCCCACAGGACTGTGCCATGCCGTGCCATGCTGTGCTGTGCTGTGCCACACCGTGGGCGAGCTCAGTGACAGCAGCACCTCTCTCCCCCAGCCCCCTCTGTTCAGCAGGACAACGGGCGGCAGTGGGGGACGAAAAGCTCCAGCAAAGCTACGGGGAGGTTTAAGCAAAACTGGGTCAAACGTGAGAAATCAAGGTGTGAGGAAGATAAAAAGCTCTCCCTGCCTGAGAGACATTGCAGCAGCCGTCGAGGACACAGGGACAGCCTGACTGAGGGCTGCACCACAGCCAAGGACTGCGAGGGGCTGAGGGGGCAGAGGGGATCCCCCAGTGCTGCTCCACAGCCTTCTGTGACCTGCAGGCAGCACCATGGGGCCAGGGACCAGCTGTCCTGAGAGGAGGGCCCTGCAATGCCGAGTGGGACAGACTGGCTGTGTCCCCCAGCCTGCAGAGATGGCACCATGTCCGGAGATGGCACCATGTCCACAGCTGGAAACACCACCCAAGGGCTCGTGGCCCCAGCAGCAGCTGGCCTGGCCCCACAGCCCCACTGCCACAACCCTGCACTACAGCAGCCAGGATTTAATGATGGAGCGGTTGCCTTTAATAAATGTTTATGTTCAAAGAATTTACACCAGTGCTCTTAGACAGCTAATGAGGGACATTTCCATGCATAAAAGCAGAGCGAACACAGTAATTAACTTTGTTGCTGATTCATTTTTAATCATTTAAATGCTCCAGAGACTTGCACTGTCCTTAAGTCAAGAGATTCTTTTCCAAAGGGCACATTGCCGTGTCCCTTCACAGACACACACACTCCTACCTTCCTAAATAACTGTCCAGCACTGACAGAGGGTCTGGCAAAGGCCAAGGTCGGTGGGGTGGGAGGTTTCCCTCAGGCTTGTGCAGAGCCCAGCTCACAGCCCTGCCAGCGGGTACTGCCCTGTGCTCATGGAGACAGGCTGGGGTCTCCCCCTCCCCAAGGCAACTCCTTCCATAAGTGAAACTTCAAAACTGAATATTCATTTTTAAAACCACCACATGTGCCACAGCTGCTGCAGCAATTCCTGAGTTAATGGCCCACATTAGAGCCGTGGCACCCACTTAGTGACCTCCTGGTGCCAGGAGCCTGCAAATGGATGGGACAACATGCCAGCACCAAGCACAAACCCCACCAATCTGGCAGCAGGCCCTGAAGACCTCTCATCACTCACGGGGGGCACTGCCTGCCCTGAGAGCCAGCTCTACTCCTTGCTCCCTGGCACCAGCCATCTCCAGACACACACCATGGACAGACACTGTGGGCAGTGCCTGGCCCTGCCATGGACACCCAGGGTCACCAGGGCCTGGCATCCTTTGCTCACAAGCCTCACAGAGCAGCTGTGCCCATGGCACACCAGGTCACCAGCTGGTCTAGTGCTTCCAAAGCAAAGGTAAGAACAAACTGCAGCATTTACAAACAAGGTCAAGGAACAGAGCAAGGATAAGCATCGTTAATGTCAAAGGCTTGGCATCCCATGTGGGTTTATCTCCAGCGTCTCCCCCAGCTCTTTGTGGAGGGAAGCCCTCCTGGACTGAGTGAGGGTATTGGCAGGACCTGGCCCACCCAGAGGGCAGGACGGGCAGGACTGTTGCCCACAGGCAGCGTGGGCACGGCAGTACCCAGGGAACATGCTGCCAGGGCCACCTCCTCACACAACAGACTCTGCCAGGGCTCCCATGTCCATTCCCGAGACCGAGGGCACTCTCTGAAGTCAAGGAAATTTCAAAGCATCCTTGAAGCTTGCTGCCTTCCTCTCTTCTCACTAATTAACTTTACCAAAATGCACTGTCAGTCAAGCCCCCATACACTCCCTGTCGCCGGGCAAAGCCTAATGGGCTCCCATTTGTGTGT